TAAGCACACCATAGAAAAATCGGTTGAATCAATCTATGTTCATAATATATTGTCGCAGATGTACTTCAAATATTCAAAATAGTATAACATTTTCATTCATTTAGTAATTTGTTGTAAGCTATAGTCTCCATATCAGAAAAGCTTTTTTGTGTGCTCACAATTTTAGTTTTTTTTTATATGCATATGGTTGCTTCGACTGATATTGAATGAGTGAATGTCAGACCGGAACTTTAGATTCCTTGAAACATATTCAGGAAATCAGGAAGCATATTATGGAAGAGCAGCCTCCTGCATTCTTCAAATGTTTGCGACTGAATTCCGAGCTGAATTCCGCCCTTTTGTATACCGTGGTATAAATGAAGACATTTTATTATTATTATTGCCTTGTTTATGAATGAAGATCAGCGTTCCAAATTGTATAAGTATATTTACAGACATCCACTGAAGCTGTGGTTGCATATGCTCTATACTTTCGGACATCTGTGTCTAGGCAAATAAACAGAATAGAAGAGCATTATTCGAAGTGAGGCCTTATTATGCTATTATATATCATAATATATTCACTGAACTGAGTGAGATTTTTGCTTATTCTATGTGTGAATCCAATATTTTTCGATTCTGTTTTTTGAGATATATCCAGTGTGCTCGCTAAAAGATATTTTGATTGCGATGACATTTCATGATCTTAACAGGCATTCCATATTTTCATCCATTGACTCATTCATTTGTCGCCTACCTTTCATAATCATGTATTCAGATTCGTTCATATTCATTATCAATCTGTTCGTGTTGAACCACTCACTGTTCTAATATCCATCAATCCATTCTGCGGTCTTGATTCGAACCACTCAGCAGGAGTTCAGGAGACGATAGAGAAGATAATTACAGCTAGCATCTGCTCCAATTCTTTCTAGTTTGCTCTTCAATTACTCTAGCGAATAATTTGATTAGTTCCAACTTAGTACTGAAACAGCACAAATACGGAGAAAGATAATCTCCTTGTTATCCGCAGAACGTTTCCTGCTAGCGTTTTAATGGTTTTTAGAAATTCAGTGAGGTTCTTCCACTCTTTCTTTTTATTTTGAGACCAGCTCAGTTTTTGATCAATTTAATATAGAGTGGGATCGATAACGTAATGCGATGAGTCGAGTTCTATACGGTGTACGAGAATTTCGTCGGGAATATCTTCATGAACATGAGAAGGTAATTCGATATAAGATAATGCGAAAACTTGAAAGTACACATTGAGAAAGGCGAGGAAAAAGGTGTTCGAGTATTCGACGATAATAGATGTCGAGAAAGATTCGATACAAGATGCGCTGTAGAAGAATGGAAGGTATTCTCTGCGTGCGAATATTTATCTTTTCCTCTATATTCTCATCAACTTAACTCAGCATACTATAGAAACCGTTGACAATGACATTCGCTAGCTTTGCTTTTTTTACAAGTTTTTCCTCAAGACAGATAGCTCCATGTAATGTTAGAAGGGTTATCTCCTGATACTATAGTACAGATCATCCAACGTCTAGATACGAAAGATTTGATGACGCCTCTGATATTCTATTTATAAGAATCCGTTACCTTGAAAGCCACTATCGCATATTTGGAGGAAAATTGATCGTTAATTCCACACATCACTCTGCAACATACACTGAAAAAACCTATAAATCAAATTTTCAATTTGAAGGCATTCGTCCTTGAGCCCTGTGGCTTATTCCGAGGCGCATTCCTGACTGTGCAAAAAATGGTTCTAGGTACCTTGCCTCTCCTTGGCATCACCTGAATTTACACCCCTGGGTTTAAGCCCCCTTGACTTTGGAGAGCTAACTTCGCTACTGTCGATCTGTATATATTTGCTCGGAATTTTCATTGGCAATACTCTTTCATGGAGAAATCATATCAGATTACTGACGAAAGACGATTCATCAATAACTCGGATTATTCTTATTCTGGGCAAAAACCTACTCCACATCTCGAAGACTTCTCATTACCTACAAGGCACAGATACTATGAGTGGCCAGCGTAGCCTCGTGGTTGAAGCGTCAATGTTCTATCCACGTTGGATTACCGGTAGTGGGTTCGATTCCCACCACGACCACAGAATTTTTTCTGATGGCCTAAAAGAGTGTTTGAAATCACACGTTGAAAGGTAAGACCTCGTCATTCCTTGCCCGCACAGGAATATTTCTGAGGGTTGCTCGTGAGGGGGCAACCGAATGATGGATAAGAACAATTTTAGAACAATTTAGAACAACTATTCTCATATGGAGTTCAGCACCCAAACCGACCTAAACAGACGCTGCTGCTCTTAAATGCCTTCTAGAGACGAGTCATTCACCTGGTTGGAGATGTCTCACTCACTAATTATTATTTGATACTGAAAATTGGAACCCATCGTGAAACACCGAAGGAAAGTCGACGACCTTTCACTTTTTCATAGATACCTGGAGAATGGAGAATGTTCGTCAGAAACCTCGGTTATCGCTACACCACTAGCACTACTAGTTAAGACGAACTCGACATGCGCAGTCAATTCATCTTTTGTTGTCAATATCAAGATATGTCGAACAATTCTCTACCGAAACTCGTTTGTCTGAAGAATGTTGAATCTCCGGGATTATTCGCTTAGAGGACTATCACCACGAATATATAACCTCCAAGTGTTCAAGAAAAAATCCAATTTCTACTCATTTCGTTTTTATTTCTTAGTACAAAAGATGGTGTACAACCATAATGGGGATTCATTTTCGTGAGCTCTGAATGATCAGGAATTCAATGAATGTATTTTTGAGCATTTCTTCGAGACTTCGAATAATGGTTGGCCAACATAGCAGTTCAAAACTCACTCTGTTTAGAGCAAAATTCGAAAAAATCATGAGTGGACCAACTCTGTTATTGGTATATCCGAGGGTATATCAGAGATTATACACTTCCCTGTTATATGAAAACAACTAACACTTCCATGTTTTCTTCGCGAAACAAGTGCATAGCACTTATCGCTAAACTACTTTGTTCACTTCCACCATATGTAATCAACCAATTACTTGTATTTTTGATTATCATTGATTGTGAATGCTGTTTCTCTCTACCAAAAAACGTCAGTGGTACAATACTGGGGATATCCAAGCGATCACCATGAGTAAGATGGAAGAAACGAAATCTCAGAAAAGGTGAGGTGACTAGTGGGTATACCTCGGGGTATACACTACCACGCCATCTCACCGATCAAGATCGATAAAATATCATTCCTAAATTGAACAAGACGAAATTTGTCTCAGCAACAACGGATTGTGGGTTCCCCAAAGACAAATCGCCATAAACCACCACCCACGGTTGAGGCAGCACAATATTTTTGATATATCAACAATATCATACTGATCAAGTCAATGATTGAATTCAATGAACCTCATTCAAATTTCGGATCTATTTGTTAATTTTCCCGATCAATACGACTAAAGACTCATCGTTTTTGATCTTTGTTTCTGATGTCAGGCGAGATGTCAGGTAATGAAGTGATACCAATAAACTTGAATGAGTCTGTTCTTTTCATGAATGAACGATATCACAGTTACTTATATGATACATGGAAAGTGTTGAAGAATGATCAGAGTAAAATGAAGCCATAACCCATAAGAAGAAGTTTTCTACTAAAATCCGCGCAAAATAGAGAACACATGTCCATCATTCCAAAATGTTCCTCTTACACTGCAGAACACACTACTCCCACGTCACTATTTCGAGAAAAAAATTCAGTCCAAGAGTTCATTCCATTTGACAGATTTCCATCGGAGCGAGCCAGGACGTTTTCCGCTCGTCTTCTGTTTATTTCCAAAACAAATGACTTCCTGTTATCGAAAAGACAACAATAAGTGTGCGGTACTGTGTACTGACTAGTCCGAACTAGTCATCTCATCCTTGGTGAAAATGGCATTTCTTCTACCTCAATGAATAAAATCGACAAAATATCAATTTTGAAATGAACAAAACGAATTGTGTCTTCGTGGAAAAGAATTGTGCGTTACAGCCAAGATCCATTGATGGTTCTTGGTGGAGCTGTCATCTATTTGCTAATTTCAATAATCTATAAGATCGGAGATTCGTCATTCTTGATCTCCATTTCCAATGTCGAGTAATGGAGTATTACCTACAAACTAGAATGAGCCAGCTCTCTTCATCAATAATGGAAAATATCACAGTAACTCATTTAACAGATGGAGATTTCCACAGAATCACTAGAGTAGGATAACGTGTACTAATTGAAGGAGGTCATCATTCCGAAAGACCACGAAAGATATACTTTCTACTAATGATCGTCAGCACAGCCATGACAAGAAGTTTCCTCCAAAAATCCGCGCAAAATATGGAACACATGTCCATCATCCCGAAATTGTCCTTTTCCACTGCAGAACACACTACCTCCACGTCACTATTTCGAGAAAAAAATCCAGTCTAAGAGTTCATTCCATTTGACAGATTTCCATCGGAGCGAGCCAGGACGTTTTTCGCTCGTATTTTGTTCATTTCCAAAACAAATGACGTCCTGTTATCAAGAGGACCGCAATAAGTGTGCGGACTGTCTAATGACTAGTCGGGAAGCTAGTCATCTCATCCTTGGTGGAAATGGCATCTCTCCTACCTCACTGGATAAAATCGACAAAATATCAATAATTATGAATTGACCAAAACGAATTGTGTCTCAGTAACAAAGAATTGTGCGTTCCAGTCAAGATCCGTTGATGGTGATTGGTGAAGCTGTCTTCTATTTGCTTATTTCATCAATCAATAAGACCAAACATTCGTTATTTCTCATCTCAATTTCTGATGTCAGGAAACGGAGTGATTCCTAGAAACTAGAATGAACCAGCTTCCTTCATCAATAATGAAAAATAATGCAGTAACTCATTTAACAGTTTAAGATTGTCAACAGATGATAAGTGTAGAATAAAGGGTAAAAAATGAAGAAGTCCATTATTTCGAGAGACCACTGAAGATATACTCACTACTAATGATTGTCAGCACAGCCATGACAAGAAGTTTCCTCCAAAAATCCGCGCAAAATAGGGAACACATGTCCATCATCCCAAAATTCTCCTCTTCCACTGCAGAACACACAACCTCCACGTCACTTTTTCGAAAAATAAAATCCAATCTAAGAGTTCATTCCAGTTGACAGATCTCCATAGAAGCGAGCCAGGACGTTTTTCGCTCGTATTTTGTTCATTTCCAAAACAAATGACGTCCTGTTATCAAGAGGACCGCAATAAGTGTGCGGACTGTCTAATGACTAGTCGGGAAGCTAGTTATCTCATCCTTGGTGGAAATAGCATCTCTTCTACCTCACTGGATAGAATCGAAAAAATCTCAATAATTATGAATTGAACAAGACGAATTATGTCTCCGTAACGAAGAATTGTGCGTTCCAGCCAAGATCCATTGATGGTGATTAGTGAAGCTGTCATCTATTTGCTTATTTCATCAATCAATAAGACCAAACATTCATTATTTCTCATCTCAATTTCTGATGTCGGGAAACGAAGTGATTCCTAGAAACTAGAATGAACCAGCTTCCTTCATCAATAATGAAAAATAACGCAGTAACTCATTTAACAGTTGAAGATTGTCAACAGATGATAAGTGTAGAATGAAGTGTACAAAATGAAGAAGTCCATCATTTCGAAAGACCACTGAAGATATACTCACTACTAATGATTGTCAGCACAGCCATGACAAGAAGTTTCCTCCAATAATCCGCGCAAAATAGGGAACACATGTCCATCATTCCAAAATGCTCCTCTTCCACTGCAGAACACACAACTCTCACGTCACTTTTTCGAAAAAAAATCCAATCTAAGAGTTCATTCCAGTTGACAGATTTCCATCGGAGCGAGCCTGGACGTGTTCCGCTCGTCTTTTGTTTATTTCCAAAACAAATGACGTCCTGTTATCGGGAACACCGCGCGGAAACTGCCAGAGAGGGAGATTCTCCAGCATGCGCGTGCCATTCGAGGAACTCCCACTACCACATCGAAGATGAAAATATCGCTGATTTTCACGGCTTTTTCCATTTCGCGAAGTCTGTACGGAAATGCACACATTGAGCATTGCTGGGGAAGATTCCTTCTGGTACATTCTCCTCGAATCCAATTCTCGACTTAGAATTGGCAATCGGAACATGCTCAAATTGGAATTATCAATTAGTGTAGTAGATATGCGATAAAAAATGGTCTCAGGTGGAAATAATTCCCACAAAATTTTTTTTTGCTTTTCTCAGTTCAGAATGCATAAAATAACACATATGAGAAAATATAGAATGATACCTTTGTGCAAAATAAAAATACAGTGTTTCCAATATTCGTTTATTCGTTGATACGTATGAATCATGAACCTAATAAAAATTGCATATTTGGCATGTAACAGAAGTTCATTCATTATCTTCAACTTCCTCGATTGGAATATTGGTACTTTCCCGAAAAATCATTACACAATACTGTGCAAGCAAAAAATCTCGTATCGTCGACATTTACATCTGGTTCCACAAGGTTCATCTACTTCAGTTTTGCAAAAACTTCCGTACGTCATCATATGATACAGAAAACCCAAGCTTATGGAGTTCATCGTCAAGTAACCGAGATAGAAAATCTCGATGTTACTGCACACCAACACCTAGACGAATTCAACTTATGATAGATCGTGGCCTTGCAGCTTGCATAAGTGCCTGTTCAATTGAATTTGTTGATTATTATATCCAAGAATATTTTCAATATGTCGGGTAAAAGCTTATTATTTTCCTGCTCGGATCTTATTTCTCCTGGTGAAGGATCAAACTGTAAGGATGTTCTCATCAACTTGATTAAATTCTCAATCAGTTTAGCTGTTGCCTCAACTATCCGAATTTTCTCAGCATCTGGATCTTCTGAACACTCTTGTCGCTGATAATCACAAATTATATTGGCAACTGTTTCTCCTGTAACGATAATATTAGCTCTACCTTTTTGTCTCAATATCATAATGTCATCCGAGAAATATTCTTCTAATTTTTTATGCATACGACGAACAGTGTGAGGTTCAATATTTTCTGGCAGCATAGCAGCTCTGCCATTTTGTCCAGCAACTCCTGAACTGAAATTGGTTCATCATTTTTCTTGAGCCACCTGCATATTTCTAAAAAGGCATCTTCTTTATATTTATCAGAAGGTCGTCCTGTTAACTTTGTCTGTTCATTGGGAATATCATGTTGATGTTTCTTAGGAATAGAGTCGTTTTTTCCAAAATTCACACTACATTTATGATTATACAGAGCATCTGCTGCTGGCAAGTATCGATAACGGAATAAAGACCTGCAAAGACATTTGATGATCAAAAATCGTTTCTTGCATCACACACATCAATAATAGTTTGTCGAAACGCGAAAGTTCGTGCTGGTAAAATTGCAGATTCAATTATTTTCTCAGTTTCCTTGATGAATTGGCCACAAAACAAGCAATTATCTTTGAATGCGAATGTCGGCAGCTCAGATCACAAAGCTCTGTTGCTGCTGCTGCTGCTGCTGCTGCTGCTGCTGCTGCTGCTGCTGCTGCTGCTGCTGCTGCTGCTGCTGCTGCTGCTGCTGCTGCTGCTGGTACTAGTTGATGCTTCTCTATCATGATCTGATTCAAACCTGAGATCATTCTTCATCTTGTTCAGATTTACGTATAAACGACGACATTCGACGTGAACAATTAGAGGATGAATAGGCACTGGTTCCAAGAGTTCAATTATTTTGTCTTGCTGCTACTTGCTAGCACTTATAATTACTTGGACACATTTAGCAGTCAATTTAACACAATTCGAAATATCATCAGTACTCAACGAAAATAATGAACATTTGTTATCTTCCATCGCTGCTTTTAATTCACTATATTTAGGTATACCTTGAATAATATATCAAATAATGGAACTTTTCATTCACGATCAAAGAGAATAGTTTCAATCACATACCAAAATGATTGTTGCACACCTCGACACGAATTTTGAGATCTGCTAACCATATTATCATTTTCAGGAAGATTATGAAGTTCGTTTGAATCTTATCCTGAAGATCCTAACATAGGTAGCGGAGCATGTGTTTAGTTGTGAAACAATCATTTCGGTTTGGGCACCTGAAATATGAAAAGTTGCATTAAAACATTTTTGCATGGAAGAATGCATCTTTAATATAGTGTGAGGGGTCGAATGAGGCTTCAGAAAATGAAAACTGCGTTTTTGTGGAAATTATTTCCACCCCAATTCTTCCAACTGCTCTACTAAATTCCAAACTGGGACCAGTGATCATTTTCATACCAAATCTCGAGCCTGTATAATTATTTACCTGATTTATTTAAATCTTCATTTTCATGGCCTTTCAAGTATCAGCTTCGCAAATTCCTATTATAACAACGAATTTAGACTCCTCATTCCGACTAGGTAGGTGCCTGATGGTTATTTGATTACTATTTTTGTTAAGTCAGAATTTTTCTTCATTTGTTTCTTTTTTTATTGTTGTTCTGAAACAGAATTAGAACCACACACGAGAGAAAAACTGTGCGGTTGTTAATTAGGTATTGCATATAAGATATATAAGATTGGATAGTATGAATGAAAGAACTCCTTTTGGTTTTTTTTTGTTGCATCTCTTTGTTTTGTATCAATTACGGTCAGGTTAAAAAAAATAGGGTGTGATTCACATCATCTGACACCTCGCCTTCCTTTTTCAATCATACATATTGTTGTATTCAGGGTAAGTGTTTGCATTCACTCTGTATTGGTTGTATTGAAGAATAAGGACACATTATCATCATATTTGTTATTATCATTATCAGTATAGATATTCCGTAATCGATTGAACGTCTTCAAATTCAGACTAGACAAATTCAGATTGAGTATAATAGATTTCGAATTGAAGCTAAACAAATCAACACATGTCTATCTGAGAGGGTTAAAAAACACAAAATCATCACGACAACGTTTAATAATCGAAAAATTATTTAGGGGTACATGTTTCGGACAGTCATGTGTCCATCATCACCCTTAATCCTTACAAACCAAAGCTCCTATAATATGATACACATTGATCATGAAAATGTATGAAATAGAGAATGTACTCACGTGGGAATGAAAAAACCACACATTATGGAAAAAAAACATTGAATAAAACTATTGTGCAAATAAGCACCGGTTCAAGGTCAGGTTGATTTCTAAGGAGCCCTGTGCCCCTATGAGGACGTACCTACATAATCACGATTTAATCACAAAATTTTCAGAAAAACCGAATAATTTCTCAAAACAAAGGTTCACCATCAGATGATAAAGGGAAAGTAGCGTTTTTAGCAATCCACAAAGCGCAAAACGTAAACTCTGTGATGACAAGATACATATGACAGTGACAATGTCAACTGTCCGTAGATAAGGACTAGTGGACGACCAGATGCACCACTCGACATAGACCAATGAGTAGATACCTAGGGACATAAATTGGAATGAGCATAAATTGTAGTGAAGACCAAAGCAGGAAAAAGGTTGTCAATCTATTGGAACACACGAAATAGAATCCCTATTATTATATAACAAACGTCGTGCTCACCTAGAGAGGATATGGAGTGAAGATAGGTATTGAAATAGTTTCCGAGCTTTTGAAGATTATTAGTTCTTGAAAAACACTTCATTCGGCAAAGAATTCCAAAGCTTCGGCGTTCTGAATGTTATCCAACATATCTAGAGGTTGACGACGAAAGGTTGTGCTGACTGCGCTGGTCGAGTCTGCCTGACTGCTATTGCTCGTCGTGGAATGATAGCATGAATTTCTGAAGAACATTTTCCTTGGAAATATCTATATAGAGTAATAAAAGGTCTCCGAGTTCAATTCGATGTTCCAATGATGTCGAAAAATTATTATTGAGTGAAAGGCTCTTCTCCAGATGGTATCCAAGAACATCAGCATGTTTCGGTGTAGAACCCCTTATGAAAGTATATTGACAACGTTATCATGATATGTTAGATGTTTAAATATATTGTTCTACTCATATAACTAAAATGGCATTCAGCGTACAACAGATATGCACCACGCTAAATGGTCGATCAATCACAGATTGACGAT